GGGTTTGAGAATACGATCAAACACAATATGTCATGTTTGTAAAATAAAATCCTTTGCAATAGAGTAAGAATCTCTGTTATTTAAATAAAAAACTGTTACGGCTGCATTTTCTCAGCGGTTGATGATGATGATGGGACGGAACATGTGACAGCAAACCTTGTAGAAGATTCTTTTTTCTAACCAAAATGTGGCACTTTTGTATTTGTAATTAATCAAGATCCATCTGGCTGGCCTTGACATACCATCTGAGTGGACAAAACATGAGATGACTGATGTTGAAACTACCCTTGAACAAAACCTTGGTCTCAAACATCCTAACAAATAACAGCTCAGCCAAGGATTCAGGCCTTTTACCAACACAGTATTTTACACACACACACACACACACACACACACACACACACACACACGAGCATACAGAAATTGACTTATGTCCACATAAAACTCAAAAGCAGTTTAATACAATGTTGTGGTTGCAGAGTTTTGTTCATTTGAAGAAAAACATTCAAGTTTCGAAGGACACTAAAGAGAAACCCAGCAGTTGTGAAAGCCACACACACACACACACACACACACGAACACAAACACACACACACACACACACACCCCTAATCTGCTACCCTGAGGAGCCTCCCGTTTTCCAGGAGGGGCCTTGCACCTGCTGGGGAAGAAGCCGAGGAGGCCCAGGAGAGGAGGGACCTGTTGTTCCAACTTATCACTTTAGTTAAACACACGGATTGCCAGGATGAAAACATGGACGCACCTCGGTCTCGGCTCCATTATCAGGCGGCGCCCCAAAGCCTCGAATGCTCCCACTTCACCTCGTCTACACCACCTTCACGTCCTTGACGGTTTTTACCCTCAAGGCCTCCTCCCGAGACTCGACTCAGACAAAAACAAGCGCTCCCCTTCCTTCCAACAGTTGGATATTTTAGTGAATACGTGGACTTGTTTCCCGCCCGAGAGTCGGATGAGAGGGGATCCATGTCGCCATCAATTAAATAACAAGCTATAGTCATCGACTCAAAATAAAGGAAAGCTGCTGTTCAGACCAGTGTGATGCCTTAAAATGACTTGTTTTGTCTAAACAAAAGTTAAACATTTCTAACTTTGGATAATACAAAGCGTAGACAAGCGGCAAACCGTAGCATCTGAGAAGCTGGAGCCACTGACACTGCTGTTGCAGTTTAGCTTGAAATCAATAACTGTTCATCAATAATGAAAATATTGTTACGTGCCGGATTGTTTTTTGCCCTAGAGCAGAAAACTTCCTGCAGTTTCTGGTGTAAAAATTGCAAATGATTTAGTAAAGACTAACAAATAAGATGAAGTGCCTTTATTAGTGAGCTTGTCCCTTTATCGATGCTAAGCTAAATGAACTTGCTCCAGTTACAGGTATCCAACTCTTGGCAATAATAAAAAACCATACATGTGACTATTCCTTTAAAGTCGAGCAAGACGTGGACAAGCCTTTCTTTTCTTCTCCTCGACACTAAGCTACAAAAGCCTCCTGTTGTAGCAGCAACAGCCGGCCGGGCTCTCCGGTTCTGCCCGCTGGGAGGCCCAGAATCCCCGGAAAGGTGAATAAGCAAAGATCCAAGAAATTAAATCTCTCAGCAGCAGCAGCAGCGCTACCTGGAACCTCACACATCAAAGGGCTGAGCAGAAGCCGGCAAGGGACTCTTTCAGCGCCGCGCTGGCCGACGAATAAGGCCCCCCCCGCACTGACCCCCCCGGGACGGTTCATGTTGACACTCGGCTGCGAGTGACAACAACAACAACAGTGGGCAGCAGATGACGACACACATGCAAACACACACACACTGTTTTGGTGGTCGGTTAATCTGTGATCTGCTTCCTGGTGGATTTTCTCAGAAATCAACCAGGGGCCTCAACTGCTGTCACAGCCGCAGCACACAACGCCGCCGTACGGAGAGCGAGTGTGAGAGCGCGTTGAGACGAGGCCTCACCAGACGGAGGAAGAGCCAGAGAGCCAACACAACCACACGGAGACTCGCAGAAACAGTTTCCCACGCACACACACACACACACACACACACACACACACACACACAGGGAGACGGGTTCCCGAAGAGGGAAACCGTAACGGTGAAATGGAAACAAAGTGAAACTTCCACAGCACCTGTGTAGACAAGAGAGATTGAGAGATTGAGAAAGAGCAGCAGTGCCTTGTGAACTCTAGTTGAGGTTAACTGCATTTAAGTTGGTTTGGTTTACTGACAACTTACAACATTTTTTTGCGTGGGATTAAACAGTCAAATTTGACTTATTTCCATCCATGGCTGACCTAAGTAATTATAAACCAAAACCTGGAAAATGTAACCATAAAAGCAATTTTCCAATAAAAGGAAATCAAGGAGTTTATTGACTAAAGGAGATTTAACTTGTAATTGTATAAATTCTCAGCAATTCCAAACTACTTTAATGCGCCTGAGCGAAAAGCCGGAGGCAGATCGGTTCTGTTTTCCATGAATCGGAGTATGTGTGTCTGAGATAGTGAGTCACAGTGTAGGCTTAATAAGTGCAGCCTTTTATGCTCCCATTAGGTCATTAACATTACAGCTCATTCTGAACTTTGGCAAGGAGAAGAAAAAAAATCCCTCTTTAGCCTTGTGCTCCCTGAAGAAAGTACATGGAAAAAAAAAAAGAGAATGAAAGGAAAATCTCCTTCATCTCTGTAGGCAACCCAAATCCTCACTGTGGCTGCAGCCAAAAACCAAATTAAAAAGACTGGAGTGTTGGTGTTTAGCAGCCGCAGTGCAGCTGAGAGGGGATGGAAGTTCTCTCATGCGTAACAATTTATCAAACCAATTTAAAACGGGCTCACAGACACACACACACACACGCCCCAATATTATTAGTGGTCCGACAAATTCTAATTGTGTTCCTTCCTACTCCTAAATTATGCTTTTATTCAACCAATAGACTTCTGGCAGTTTTTGGGATCCCGGGTTGAGAAAAAATGCCTTTGTTTATTGCTCTTCATCCGTTGTGTTCTTAGCCATGACTTGTAAAGTAAAAGCACTGCATTCCCAATTGTAGTACTGTCAGGGTTGTATAACCAATTATTTACAATGAATTACGTGTGGACAGTTTTAACTTTGTACGGCAGGTGATGCTTAAATCATATAAGCTAATCATATATTTTCATGAATCTTATTGTTAAAGTCACAAGTACCTATTTGAAGTTTGAATAAAGGCTCTTATTTCACAAGAGCACTGAATAACTTGGGTTCATTTGACAATTATAGACAATCCGGCACTATTTCCAGGGTGTTCCTGTGGGAAAAGAGTGCAGGAAGGAACCCATTCAGGTTCCTGGGGTCAGAGGTTAAAGCCATTATTGGGCTCCACAGATCTACAGGCATTTGCTGATTATAAGAGCGCGTACTTAACACGTCCCAGACGCTGGAACCCAGAAGAAAGTCGGTTTCAGCGAATGGGGATACGAGAACCGCAACGATCACGAGAAGGCAAACCGCTGATGAAGTCATGCACCGAGAGCCAATCGCACAGCCGGAGACCAGCAGAGGCCTGAGAATGGAGGCGCAAGCGGCTGTAAATCAACCGAGGGACGATGATCCTCCGCTGTGACACGACCTCATTTGGTCTCCTGGTGGCCTGCATGCCTCCGCTTCCAGCAGGCAAAATACCCCCTCCAGGGATCCTAAAATACATGGCAGGGTGTGAGGAGGGGGCAGCAGCACCCGGGGGTGGGGGGGGGCTGCGAGTCTGGACAAGCTAGTCAGCGCCACGGGCCTGAGACGACAGTCAGACAGACGACAACAGCAGCAGGAATGTTAACTCTCCCCCGGGTTTCTTTGGGTGCGCCCGTTCCCATGAAAAATCCCGGTGTTCTCCAAACGTCACCAGGCTAAATCCAGTGGTTCTAAGCCAAGGGGGGGGGGGGGGGGGGGTTGAGTCGCTGTGTGGTTGTCTTCTAAAGGAGCAGCGGGGTTCATCAGGCCACGCGGGTCATGGAGGGCATTTCTCGGGTTACGCTGTTGTAAGGGTGTGAGTGACACCGTCTGGCCACGTCGGGTCACTGCATCAGGCGTTCAGCCAACGGTGTGTTCCGAGGAGAAGTCACGCACGGCTCCCATTGGCGACAGTTATCAAGGTTATTGTGCCAAAACGTTTACGAGACGGTGATTTAGATGCTTTATACTGTGCTGGAATTAATTCCATGAGACCGCGCGGACTAATAAACACTCTGAACGACACACGGTTACAGTCATTTTAATGAGAACAACATCTCACTTCATCGACATCTGCAGTCATCAACAACATAACACGCATACCCCACCCGCTGGACATCACCAACACACACGTGACACACAGACACTCATGAACAAAAAGGAATGAGCGAATCACACACAGGGAGTTCTGATGTCTCCAAAACCTGGATGACAGATGAAACTGATCATGGGAATCCGGTTTGCAATTTGTACTATAACGTTTTAATAAAACACTTTAACCTCTGTATTTAGCAGTCATAAGCACAATATAGAAAACATTTAACGAGTGGATCATGGCACTATAAACAGATAGCGAATGAGAATATAGGAAATATAATATGTCTTCATGGAAGTTAGAATTCATCATTGTAACAGTATAGTGGCCTAAACCATTTATTAAACATTTATATTGTGCTCATAAATGCCGAATAGGGGCAGTAAGTCAAGTGTTGTAAGTACACATTTATACATATTCAATGAACTCAATATAGTGTTTAAACCGTAGCTGATATGCAGTAGATGCCGGACTGTTGGTAAACACTTTAAGACAAATGCATGGCAACATTAATTTTTCTATAAAAGATTATTTAGGTCACACTAAATAATAACGTACATACGTGTATTGAATGGCTAACAGCCTACCTGATAAGGGATTACAACTGTTAAGGCTCAGCCCCCGCTGTCTGGCTATTAAGACATGTTGCTGCTCGCAAAAACACTCCAACAAGAAGCTCTTCTTGAATTGCGTTCAAGAAAAAAAAAAAAAAAAAAGGGTAGGCCAACACTTCAAACCACATTTTTTTTAACTTCCATCAGCTCATTTAGAGGAAGAATTTCTCTTTCAAAAGTGCAAATGTGTTTTGGTTCTAATCACTACCGTTCTGCATCTCTCTCTGAGCGGATCTACGAGGCCTATGTGGTTACTTCTCTGAAAACACAGGAGGACGCGGCGCTAATAGTTCGGGATTGCGGACGGGCATCATCGCAGTCGGGGGAAGATTCTGATGAAGAGGATCATGCTGATGAAGCTGAAGGAGACCAGGATGAGCATCAGCCACAGCAACCAGTTGACTGACTTCTTGGTGTGCTGCTCCAGTCGCTCCGACTCCGTCTTCAGCTTCTCAAAGTTCACGTCGGCCTGACGCATGGACTGGCTCAGGGTCTGGCAGGGAATAGGAACACGCAACTGATGGGGGAGGCACTCACACGCAGATACTATTAGACCGTTTTAAAGGAAACAAGAGCGGAAATTGTTCCAGCAACAGAAGCTTATAAAGACGTAAAAAACAAAACAACAGATGGCTTAATCTTGCGTTAAACCAAGCAGTTGGCCTGTTAGTGTGTGTCTGGTATCCATTTTTCAAACAGGACGATAAAAACACATTCATGAATACCTTATGCAACAAGGAGCCGTGTGAATGTGTGTTCTCTTTTTTTTATTGAGACCTATTTGATGAGAGTACAACGAATCTTCTATTATTTCAGTACGTCTTATTTCTCAACAGTCAGCCAGTCAAATAAACGTAAGAGCAAAGTGTATCAACACAAGTCCCTCATTGGCGAAGTGTCAGGCAGCTGCCGTTACGCGCTGGTTTACCCCCATTCAGTTCATTTCATCTGCTTTGGTCTCTGATGAAAACTCTTTCACGGGCTCAATAGCTTCCATCTAAGCACCCTGATAAATACACCGTGATGAATACTGCAATACTTTCCAGGTGCCTATCCAGTTACCTGGTTGTCCTGCTTGATGATGTTCTGCGCTGCCAGAGTGTTGTTCTTCAAGTTTCGGGCCAGGTTGAGCATGTCCTCGGCAAGTTTCTCCTGTAGGTTGTGGTGGTGCTGCATGACGGCCTCCAGCTCTGCGGCAGACTGACGCTCATCCACAGGAAGACCTCTGCACAAGACGACGTTTCGGATTTGTGGGCAGTCGAACAGAAATGTGATTATTCAAAAGGTTGCCACCTTTCAAAAGCCTTTGACGGTGAGTGATTTATGATCAACAGATCTGGAAATGATCCTTAAACCTGTTAGAAGCTACCATTGTTTTTTACTGTTGTATCTAAAAAAGTAAATAATAATACAATACATGTTAGATCATTAAGACAAGAATTAATGCTACTTTACTTTCTGTTTCGCAAGTCGGTTTCCAACGTGCCTGTAGAGCGGAGGGAGAGGAACGTCATCTTTCCAGAATATCAACGGTACACTGAAGTCAAGATCATTTTGAATATAAAAAAAAAAATGTATTACCTTTGCCTGACATCCCCTGTGAACAGAAACACAAACAGAGAAAATGTATGAATTTGATTGAACGAGGCCTTTAATATTTTAGTTTTGAGTATTTTAATTGAAGACTAACATTACAGTGCTAGGATTACTTTCATATCATGAGTAATCAGAGTCCACATCTTAACCTACCGTGCCAAGCAGCTCGGCCCTCATCTCTCCCGTACACCGGGCCTTCGTCTGCATGTGGACCGTTTTTGAGGCAGGCATCCTCTCATTGCCTATTGTGGGTGTTCGCCCGGGGGCGAGGAACTGATTAGCCAAAGCCTTTTCGGATGGCGAAGGCTGTGAAGGAGAACAGGAGAAAGATCAGAAAAAACAGTCAAACGAGAAAATTACCGTTTCGTGTTTCAAAGTTTGTTACATGTACAGTTCATATAAGAAGTAAGATGCAAAGAATAGTTTTAAACGCTGCATTAATAACAAAGTGACAGAGCACATGATGGGAGTACTATGGAAAATTCAGTTGAGAGAATATTGTCACCGACCAGTTTCTCTGCCTCAAGAAGTCCTTTCAGAAAATCCACTTTTCTTGAATATTCAGTCATTATTTCTGCTGTCGGTTTGCTGGGAAAAAAGATTGTTATTGACATTTGCGTTATTAAATTAGAAATAATAAAAACTTTGATACATCAGAGTGCAAAGCGATAGTACCTCAGGCTTTTCCTCAGAGCCACCAGCATCTCCTCCAGGGCCCCAACGTACTGCAGGACAGAAAACAGAGCAGATGCATGAGGGTCACATCGGTTCGGATGATTAAATAGACACAACATGAAGCTCTGTGTCAGGGCCTTTGTGTTTTCTGTATGTAAGTTAAGCAGATGAAGTCAGTTGGGACATGAAATGCAGAACAACACAAAAGCCCTGCAACTATTGTGCACTTTTGTTTAAAGAGGAGTTGATTCAGGAACGTCAGGGTCGATCTGCAGGCTAAAGTTTGCTAAATTGATTTAGTGAATTCTCATCGATATAAAAATAGTGTAGACAAAAGAAAATATCTCTTATAAATCCATAGAGTGCAACCGCATCACGAAGTGTTCCTCCGAAATGTCCATTCAAAGTTAAAATAACACCTAATAGCGGTTAGCTATAACAGTTTTAACATAAGATGATTAGAACATTCATAAAGAGTGGATTTGTTACAAGAATGTTGAAATTTGATATGGTTTACCCCCAAAAAAGGTCTGAACATGAAGCGGTTAGTTTCTCTTAGTAACCGTTGGTGAAGCACTGTGTGATATTAATGCGACTGTTGTCACTGTCATTAATACAGCAAGCTAACACCGCAAAGGCCGTTAACAACCTGCAAGTCAACTGTAACGCTGACTACAAAATGTTCATCCGAACGCTGCTGCAAAGACTCTCCACTCAACTCTTTCCTCCTCTCTAGACTCTCTCTGCCCTCTTACGACACGACGGACTGGCAAATCCCCTCCGGCTCCGTGGCTGTCTCAACCGGTCCGTGCCATGAGAGCCACCATGCGAGCGTCGGAAAGGAAATGGCGTAAATATAAACGACCTGAGGACCTGCTCGAATTTCAATCTCTCCTCTCCTCGTTTTCTGCTTCTATCTCTGCTGCCAAAAGCGCCTTCTACCAATCCAAAATCGAATCCTCATTCTCCAACCCCAAAAAACTCTTCTCGATCTTCTCCAATCTCCTCGAACCCCCTACCCCTCCTCCCCCCTCCACCCTTCTTCCAGGAGACTTTGTCAACTACTTCACCAAGAAAATAGCTGACATACGCTCCTCCTTCTCAAACCCACCTCCTACTTCTCGCGTCCCACCGACCTCGCCTCTTTCGCCCTCACTTTCCTCTTTCACTGCCCTCTCTCCCAACCAAATTCTTACCCTAGTAACCTCTGCCCGTCCGACCACCTGCCCTCTTGACCCCATTCCATCACATCTTCTACAATCTATTGCACCCGACCTTCTTCCGTTCCTCACCTGTCTCATCAACAACGCTCTGATATCTGGCTGTTTTCCCAATTCTCTGAAGGAGGCAAGAGTCAACCCTCTCCTGAAGAAACCCACCCTCAACCCCTCTGAAGAAAACAACTACAGACCGGTCTCACTTCTTCCCTTTTTGTCCAAAACCCTTGAACGTGCTATCTTTAATCAACTCTCCTCTTATCTCCACTGTAACAACCTCCTTGACCCCCACCAGTCAGGTTTCAAGGCAGGCCACTCTACAGAGACTGCTCTCCTTGCTGTCTCTGAGCAACTCCACACTGCTAGAGCTGCCTCTCTCTCCTCTGTCCTCATCCTTCTGGACCTCTCTGCTGCATTTGACACGGTCAACCACCAGATCCTTATTTCCTCCCTTCAGGAACTTGGTGTCACAGGCTCTGCTCTCTCCCTTCTCTCGTCCTACCTCGATGGCCGCACCTACCGGGTAACCTGGCGAGGATCTGTCTCGGAACCTTGTCCTCTTACTACTGGAGTTCCTCAGGGTTCCGTGCTGGGTCCCCTCCTGTTTTCGCTTTACACAAACTCTCTTGGCGCTGTCATTCGCTCGCATGGCTTCTCTTACCACAGCTATGCTGATGACACCCAACTAATTCTCTCCTTCCCTCACTCGGACACCCAGGTGGCGGCTCGGATCTCTGCCTGTCTAACTGACATCTCTCAGTGGATGTCCGCCCACCATCTGAAAATCACCCCCGACAAGACTGAACTACTTCTCTTTCCCGGAAAAGATTCGCTTACCCAGGACCTGACAGTCAACTTTGGGAACTCCGTACTAACGCCCACCTCGACCGCTAAGAACCTCGGCGTCACACTCGACAGCCAACTCTCCCTGACTCCCAACATCACCGCGACAACGCGATCCTGTAGATACACGCTCTACAACATCAGGAGAATACGTCCCCTTCTCACTCAGAAGGCAGCGCAGGTACTGATTCAGGCTCTTGTCATCTCCCGCCTGGACTACTGCAACTCCCTCCTGGCTGGTCTCCCTGCCACCGCCATTCGACCTCTGCAGCTCATTCAGAATGCAGCAGCTCGACTGGTCTTCAACCTTCCGAAATTCTCCCACACTACTCCACTCCTCCGCTCTCTTCACTGGCTACCGGTGGCCGCCCGCATCCAGTTCAAAACATTGGTGCTCACGTACCATGCTGTGAATGGATCGGGTCCAGCTTACATCCAGGACATGGTCAAACCCTACATCCCAACCCGCACTCTCCGCTCTGCATCTGCAAAACTGCTCGTCCCTCCCTCACTGAGAGCAAAACACTCGACTAGGTCTCGACTCTTCGCTGTCCTTGCGCCGAAATGGTGGAACGAGCTCTCTGAAGACACCAGGACCGCAGAGAGCCTTCACATCTTCCGCCGCAAACTAAAGACACACCTCTTCAGACTCTACCTCGACTAAAGACTAACAAATTGTAGCACTTAAATTGTACTTGTAACGTCACTCATCTATAGCAAATTGTAAATTGGCTTATTTGAGGAAATTGCACTTTCTTGTTTCTTGTTCTCCTGAGTTTGTACCCTATGGTTGAATGCACTTACTGTACGTCGCTTTGGATAAAAGCGTCAGCTAAATGACATGTAATGTAATGTAATGTTCATGTGTTAAGTGTATCGGAGAGGTGAACACGACAGAAACGTATCATCTGGTAAAATCCCGTTAGTGGGATCAGTGACGACGTGGCGAACAGACGGTTCACAGCTGCAGCGAACAACAACAGCAGTCATGCTAACTCAAACGTTAGCGGTTGAAGGTCAGAGCTAAACGCTACAATGACTTATGACGTACTGACGCCTTCTTACCTTTTCTAACCTCCATTCTGTTTCCCCTCTTTTCTCGGAAGCTATAGATTCACAGCGGGACAATAATCGGATAAAATTGATTTCTAATCTTGAAGCCATGTTTGAAGCTGATGCACCGTCGCAGCATTTCGACGTCACCGGTTCAGCGATGACGCAGCGCGAGCGTCACAGTAAGACCCGCATTCAAAATGTTTTTAGGGACTTGATATTTTCTCCAACAGTTCGGCCTGCGTTTTAACCGCCGTCCAGAGTCATTTATCAATTTATCAATAAAGCTTTCCTCTGAAACGCTTAATTTAGTGTCCTCTGTTCGGCCACCAAACCTTTTTTAAGGTTACGTTTTTGTCAATGAAAACGAAACAAATGGCAAATACAGTTGCTTGTGTCATTTGTCTGGTTCAGAAGTTCGCTGTGTTTTATTTTTTAATACAAAGAATCTAAACAAAATAAATATGAACCTTCGTATTGGTGAATATGTCTTATAGCTACGATGTGAAAGCTAAGACTCCATGGGTTTATGATTTGTTAAAAATGAAATGGCAATAATCGAGTTGTGCTCCTTCATTTTTGAATAACTTGCTTTTTTCTTTTCATGACGGTTTATATATTATATACCCTCTTTTCATTGGTTCAATTATTTAATCTATCTATTCCCTGAGAGATATTGCATTCACTGAAAAAATGTTCAATAAAATAGAAAAAACAATCCAATAGAGAAAGTTTCTACAAAAATCCTTTAAAAAATGCCGTTGATATTTTTGCTGAGAGATGTCCAGTCTTTGTATTATTAAGCAATATCACGGTCTGAAAATCCCTTTACATACCGTGAAGGTTATTTGGTGCTTATCCGTTCTATGTATTCCTTATAAAAAGGTGTGAAGTATTCCTTATAATTCTGTATTTCCTTTGCACATATTGAGAACTACTATTAAATCATATCAACATTGTAATAATAGGATTGAACCAGATTGCCGTATATGCCACTTTAGCAGCAAGTCCATTCGAGTTGGAATTCTAACCTGTAGGCAGTCCTGTTAATCCTTCAGGGCAGTGCCATCTTGTGTGCGTCCAAAAATGTATTCAAATTTAAAAGGCACATTTATTTCCCTTCGTGGAGGAAAATAAACATTTAAAGACTTCATTCTTCATCCATTTCTCCATCAGATCATAGGAAATTCTAGAACATTCTGAAGCTAGTGCACAACTTCCAAAAGGCTGATGGTCGGCATGTCGATCTACGACAATGTGGGGATTGAATGCAGGCAATAAAACATCTACCTTAAACTCCTTTAACTGTTGTGTTAAAAGCTCCACTTACCTTTCAGTGCTTACATGTCATTTAGCTGACACTTTTATCCAAAGAGACTTACACAGATGCCATTTGAACCCATCCCACACAGTGGGAGTAGCGTGCAGCCGTCGGGGCTTCCCAGTGAGCTGTTGGGAGTTGGGGCCTCTGACGTGAGACATGCAGGGTTCAAACCGCCATCCTTGCAGTTCCCGGTGCACCCTCTGTACTCCGTGCGCCACCATCGCTTCAGCAACTTTAACAGTTGAAGTGAACATTTAAACAGCCTAACCTCATTTTTAAGTTTGACTTAATATAACAGAACAACCCTTTTTTGAAGAAGAAACATATTGTGATGTGAATAGTAATGTTTTACACGGGAATCTTTTGAACCCAGAGTTAATGTCAAATTGAAAGGACGAAGATCGTCAAGGTAACTGCACAGACTTTCATCATCCATTTTGATTCAATACTTTCGATGACACATTTGTGTAACTACTATGTGAAAATGATTAACAATTAATTTGTGGGTAAATATTAGTGCATCTGTCAACCATTGATAGAAGAGACACATTGCTGGAGAGTTAATTAACACACAGCAGCAGAGGTAACAAGCATCACGTTCTGTATTGTCATGTTAATACTAACAACCATTGCAGTTCACGTCATTCAGTCCCAACCACACACACTGTTACACATTACACGTTATTCCTCATAATCCAGACATACTAACAGACATCACTCAACAGCAGTCATAGAGGAACATTAGTATCACATTTCAAACTAAGTGGGCCAAAGTTGTGCTGTCGCAGAACCTGTTCCTTACGTAGGTCATGTTTATTATGAATTGCAGGTGCGATTCGGTTCATTTTAGAAAACGGGGAAAGGGGAGTTCAAAGACTTTAAAGACATTGTGGCACGGCTTGTCGCGTCATGGCTGGGTTTGTGTTTTTGTTCTTTCAAAAAAGGATAAAAGTGGCGTGTGCTGCTTCCATTTCCCTTTGCTCTGCTAGGCAATGAATTCCTATCGGGGGTTTGTTGTCCTGTAGGTGGGAAGATAAAATTGACCATTGCAACCGTTCTGACGAGACACCGATACAACGGTCCCAATGTGCACGTTGTGGGCACTATCCATAACATGACAAGAGTTTCTTACTTACTGTACAATTCAAAGGCACTAGCTAACATATCAGTATGAATGTTTCGCCAATTCAGAGAACTAAGACCGGAAAAGTGCGGCTGCACGATCTCCTCGTATTAGCACAAGTGTGTATAAAAAAAGAAAGAAAAGAAAAGTAAATGCTGGTCCATCAATATGATGCTTCAGAGAACACAGCCTGTCCCAACTCAACATTAACCACAATATATTAAAATGATAGAAAAGGTGCTTGGCAAATCTTGTCCAGGTATTTTACTATCATAGCGGACACATTTGCAATTCCTCAATTAGTTCCCACTGACAAAGCGAATGGAGCAGCCTTGATTTGGTGTCGCTCAGGTCCTGTGTGGCTCCTGCACATCTAGTCACGTTTACTGCGATTCTGGAGTCTCGTCCTCTCCTGGCTCTTTCTTTACGATTCATCGCTGTCATCCGTGGCCAGACGAAGACTGCCTGTCCTCTCTGTTGTGCCCTGCTCAGACGTCGTCGTCATCTATAAAAGGGATGTCCGGGTCAGAAAAACGTCTCTGGCCCCGAGTGGCTTGAGTGTGGTGGTGCTGGTGCCGGGGAGGTGGGGTCACCATGGGGGAAGGGGAAATCGAGGGAGGGCAGGAAGAGAAACTCAGGTCAGACTCAGAGCTGTCGATGTACAGGGACTTAGTGCTGTCTTTGCGGCGGCCTGGGTGCTCTCTCCTCCTGGCAAAGAACTTCGAGGCGCGATACTCGGGTGCTGCTTTGTAGGCTGCGGACTGGGAGGGGACGCCATGCGGGAGCTTAACTGTGGCAGGGATGATGGGGTTGCGGCGTTGCAGCAGATGCCGGATGGAGGCGGCCGGGGAGTCGGAGGGCGAAGAAACGCAGCTGGACACGGAGGACGTGGAGCTAGCAGAGGTGAGCTTCGGCCGAGAGTCGGGTCCACCGGGGACGTGAGGGCGCTGGGCCAGCTCTGGTGGTTTGGATGGACAAACTGGCCTGTGTCTCCTCAGCGAGAGGCCACCTCGTCCTGGCAGGGAGAGAGAGAGAGAGAGAGGACAGAGGAAGATGAGCATGTTTTACCTTAGAGCTGGTATTAATTCACATAGGAGTCCTGAGAGGGATGCAGAGCAATGGAAGAGCATGCAACCATGTTATCTGCCACGAGGGATGTTTGTTAAGGCCCAAACAGGCGAGCATCTGGCTTGCGACGTTGTGTCGAATTTTCAATTAAAGACTTTAAGTTTGAGCATGCTTATGTGGCGCACATGCATACATGGGTGTGCACACACACACACACACACACACACACACACACACACACACACACACACACACACACACACACACACACACACACACACACACACACACACACACACACACACACACACACACGGTTGCTGTTCCTCCAACCTGCTTGGTTACAGAGCAGACGTCACCGCCCCCATCACCATCACTGGTCCAGACCTGTACCACAAAAAACAGGTCTGGTCTGGTCAGGAACCCGCGTGTTAGTGAGAGAGAAAGGTAGGAGGAAGGAAGGACCGGCCGCACGCTGAATACTGACCATCAGTCTCCGAGCAGGGAACCGAAGCGCGCTGCTGCTCGTCCAGAAGGCTTTCGGCGCTCAGCGAGGCCTCAGAGTCAAAGTTCTCCTGGTCGGAACCAGGCTGCTCCATCTCTGGCAGTCTGTAGGCCAGATCTTCTCTGCAAAGAGACAGAGGACATCAGAGATGATGAGGGACTGGAGGAAGCCAGGACACCACGGCAAACAGAAATAATTAGGAAAGCATCCCTACTTCTCCTGTTTGATGGACTTGATGCGCTCCATCAGGTTCTCGGCCTCGGTGTCCGAGTCCAGAGGCTCGTTCTCAGGGACCACGCTGAGATCGGAACTCCCCTTCTCATGCACCTGCAGAACACAGAGCACCACACGCTGAAACCACAACAATGCACATTGTGTAATCACCACAAAAATGGCCAAGATCTGAAACTTAGTTAGTAAGGAAAAGAGGATGGATTAATGCATCCGCATAGAATTCCTGCAGCCCATCTGTGAAACACAATCACTAAAATGCTGTGATGCAATAGAAGCTGGTTTTCATCCATAATGCAAACAGTTTAGTTGGTTTGTGATCAACTTTAAAGACACACCACCACGATACAGAAACCACTCAACAGTAAACATAACAAGACTTTCCGTACTTTATAGTCTTAAAATAAAACGGAAAGACTAAGCAATAGGACAAATAAAAAAATGCATTTTCCATGAACCATGAAGCTTTGCAGGTCACAATGTTGTACAGCTATTGTCTTCCATCAAGACAACAAGTACTGTCCCAAAACAAACCCAGAACCATCTTGTCCTCTCTTAAAGAGAACAAGAATAACAAACAGCAACATGCAAACTACTACCAGTTAGTAAGGAAAAGTAAACAGGATTACAGGAAGAAATGTAAAAAAATACAAAATAAAAACAGCCAGAGCATCACCCACATCTAACATGCCATGCACGGGTGCCTTCTATATGGCACACTACTACACACTAAAACTGCTAGTTCTACTGCACTAGGAGAGCTCGATGATACATACCACCGCTCCTTTGTGAGGAGCTGAGAACCTGAGAGGTAAATGCCAGTAGTGCTAAAGAGAAACAAGGAACATTGGCTGCGTTACCCCATGTAATTCCTTTACGTCCAGGCAAGAGGATGAGCCATAAATTAAAATAGTATGTTGTTGCCATGGTATTAAGAGACCATACAGAATCAAACAAAGGCGAATCACAACGTCCCGGGGTCCACTTCTCACCGTGTTCTGTCTCTTGAGCTTCAGCTGGTTAACTGCCAGAGCCTCGGCGTACTCCAGCTGCTCGATCTCCACCATCTTCTCGTTGTACTTTCTGATCTGCTCGTTGATGATCATCTCTACGCACCTACAGGGGGACGAGGAAGCGAGATGTAAGACAGTATTTGTGCAGATTTACTAACTAATTGTTAACGCAATGCGGAGAAAAGACACATATTGTGGAAAGGGAAAAGCACGGATTTAGTTATTGTTCTTACGTGGTGGTCTTGGCAACATCCTTCATGCTAAGGAGCGGGTCGGCATTGTCTGGGCAGCGCAAGATACACGGGGCAAAAACTATGGCCAATGAGTTCGGAGACATGCGGTTGTGACCCTCCTCTTTACACACCCTGCAACAGAATTCATGAGGTCTTACAAAAGGCGCATCTCAAGTTGCACGTTTGTGATGAGGGACAGAAAACAGTCGCCATTGACGATCTATTGGAGGCGTTACGTCATGTTCACATTGAAATAAACAAGATGACAACGAGAGAAATCCCACCTGACGAGATGGAAGACGAGTCTCTCCAACGTGTTGAAGTTTGCCATCGGGAGTTCATCCAGCTCTTTGTATACAGCATGAAGCTGTTCCTGCTTCTCTGGCAGTTCTAGAGGAGAAAACATCATAAAGAAAACCCCACAATTTCGCATGAACACTTACAGCTCTCATTAAATATTTAAAAATGCCCAATTTCAGTTTTAACAATTACTTATATTGTATTGTTGTTATATTGTTTCACCTAATTACTAGCTATTGCGAAGTATAAGTATTTAACAACTTAAACGTCAACAACCCAGCTGAAAATAAGGAACACAGTCTCTTCAGTAAAATGCTGCCCCCTGGTGGGGGACGTCATCCTCACCCACTGCATGCAGGAAATCGCTGTAATGGGTGAAGGTCATGAGTGGATCAGGCAGCTCCCTCAACCACTGCTTCACCAGGCCCGTCACCGTGTGGATGGGATAATCTTCGAGGCAGACCCGGTGGGGATCTGAATAATCCACCAATGTAACAATGGAACATTTGTTAAGGGAGCCGTGACAACGCCTGTATTATTGAGCTACAATAATGCTCAATCAGAAGGAGTCTAACCGGTCTCCAGCCGCTGGTGCAGCTCTTTCATGCGATTGGCAGAGCCGGACTTGCGGTAGATGCCCTCGGTGTAGAGGCCCTGCATCTCCACATGCTCCAGCATCATCTCCAGCACCATGGGCACAGGGTTCTTATCGTTGACCAGGCTACCCACGCGCACACCGAAGTGCAGACCTCCAGAGTCCTCGTCACCCTGTGGATTTAGACGGACAGCAGCGGTTAGTAAAATGTTCACTTATCCCGTACACTCGCCTCGGATGTTTAAATATAATAGAGCTATAAGAGATAAAGGAATCTATTGAATCGCTGTTCTTTTTTTAGATTATGAGGGCAAAGGCCCTACGAGCTCCTGCCCCACTTCTCATTGTGCTGCTGCGGTCTGTCGTGGAAGGTTACTTTTATCTTTTTTGTTGTTGTTGTCGTCATTTAAACAATAATAAAAGCCTTATTTTCTTAATTACATTTAACTAGTAAGTACTGTAATGGTCAGTAATAAAGCCTACCGTGTTTCAGACTAAAATATAATTGAGCGAAGCGCAACAAGACTGTTTTAAATTAGGACAATGACTGTCTTTACGAATCCCGGCCTCACTGCCAACCTGTAAACATCATAAACTCATGATCAATCCAGGCCAGGGATTTCTAAAAATAAAACACTTACCTTTTTGGCACAGAAGGTGGAGCAGTCAGTGATTATTTTGCCGAGGCATTTCTTGTGACACACCATTTTACAATCTGTGACACATGGTAAAGAAAAAAGATTGTATTACTTATAATCGTAATATTTGAACATAAATCAAAAATAAGAAGAAATAGTCTCATTGTTAACTCACCGCTGCACATGTAGGCCTTTTCCATGCCCCATATGTAATAACTACACTGGTCACATGACTGCACAATGTTGACCTGATAGTTGACGAAAACATGATCCAGTGGGCTCTCCATCTAACAAGGAGACAGTCACTCGATTAGAAACCAGAATCAACATTACATTACAAATCATTATTAAATTGACTTTTGACTGCATAGTTACACTTTTATCTTTTTTCCTCCTCTTCTTCCTCGCTTTAGCAGGCTGAAAAACACACAGAAAGCATAATCAGAAATGTAGAGGAAAAGTAAATCACTGACCCAGTGTGATATGACCCGTTTATCCGAGGGACACATTATGCATCCTATGCCCCATCGAACTTCAACCGGTGATTTACACTATAACCTTTTAAGACATATATTGCTTTATGTTTTGACTTACTTGTGTTTATTATAAAATATATATGTACTTGAACTATTTCTGTAACATGATTTGCCAGAATATTGGCATATTGTCACTATTGTTTCTGCTTAACTGACTGTATTACTTCCATCTTTTCCATAAGCTAAGAGTCTGCATTCAACTTGTGAAATCCCCTTAGACATGGAAAGTCCCACATGTCTGTATTGATTCATTGTCTTCATGCATATAAAAACTCTGCTCAGGAAGCCCTCTGTTCCAATCCGGGGCAGTTGCTTAATTGTAAACTGTTGTGTTCGGTCATTCTGCGCAGAAGTCTATTAAATATACAAAGACAAATTTCTCTTTGTATGTCTCCCTCTATTCGGTCAAACTTCCACCACACAAAATGCATCTTATCCCCATTTGGACTTATTAGACGTCATGATTATAAATTTGAGTGTTTTCACCTTTGCTGGCTCAGCCTCCTCCTTCTTCATCTCTCCTCTGATGAAGCCATCCAGAACCGATTGGAATAGATTGACCACAAGTTGGACTTCTGCCTTCTGCTTATCGTCCGCGAGATGCATCACTTTCTGCTGGTAGCCCGTCATCAGACCTTTGTAGCCAATGGTGGGTTTCTGGAAAAGTACAGCAGACAGGAAACAGAATGAGGAAGAGGGGAGGACGGTGAGGAAGAGCTCTGCTCGGCACGTATGTTGTGTGTGTTATGCGCCTGTAGACAAACTCACTGGGAGGGAATACATAGCTTTGATAGTCTCCCTGAACTGCATGGTGGCTGTGACAAAGATGGCCTCTGTGGCTGAAAGAGACTTCCCCCTGGAGCGGAAATCATTGACCTGTGAGGAGACACAAACAAGAACAGGGATTTGCGGGTGAATAAATAAGTACACGCCGGTACTAAAATGACCTCCCACACTGAGTAAATATCTTCTTCATTTTCACTCACCTGGTTGCCTAGAAACTCATCGAGGTGCCGCAGCTCATTGGCGTTGGTAATTTCCCGATCCAGCGAGGCGTTCCACTGCTCGGAGACCCGTGTGGCACGGCTGATCTTTATGGTGGGGTTGCGGCCTAAACCTTTACTAGTATCACCATGTCGCTGAGAAAGAGGCCGGGACAGATGTGCAGACGTCGGGGCTGAAAGAGAGGAATTGGATTTATCATCAGACAATAATATCTATTGCAGGGAACGGTGAAAGACATGCAGACTACTTCTCTTTTCTCAAACTGAAACCCCCGATGCACAATGGAAAGCACGTACGAGTACCACAGAGAAAACAAAACCCTGAACAAAGAAGTCCTGTTTGCACTGAGCGTGATCTTGCACGGGTCAGTATTTTCTAAGAAAGCAAGCGGCAGGATAAGTTAAGGCATATAGAATTCTAGTGATATTCAACCTGTGTTTTCTTTCCATTTCTCACTTCATGAGGTCATGAAAGTGGACCGAGTAGTCCAGCAGTTTGCGCTGGGTGGTAAAACAGCAACATTTGGTCCAAAAATACGTTTTGGGAAAGTGACAACAGAAAAAAAAACAAAAAACATGAACTTATAGGATTTACTAGGGCAGGGACATGGGAAACTGAAGAGTTTGTGTTATTTACCTTCCCCTCCGGATGGCCGCTCACCGAGAGTCTGAGCAAATGTCAGCTCTGCGTTGTCGGGTGTCAGGGCCTCCTTGTGCGGACGTTTTTTCAAAATCTTGCTGAAGAAACCACCTGACCTGCGGGACACAGAAAAACAGGAAGCTCTAAAGAAACATTCACTGATATTGTTACGCACAAGTGTTGTGTGACTAAAACAACAGAGCGATGTTTCATGCGGGTTAAAGGGAATAGGTTTCTCGGTGTGTTCACAAAATTATATCTCACAACTTATTGATTTGCAACCGCAGACCGAAGTTTGTATCCCTCTGTGCAACTCCCTAAAAACACCATCAAAACGGAGTTCTCCTGTGCCACATATCCACGGTCTGCTCCAGCGCTAACACCATAGCAAAAACACGAAATAAAAACAAAGTCACCCCAATGCCTCCTACAGATAAAGCTGCAGCCCCATGACTTGAGCCCTGAGCTCTGACATATGAATCCTTTCTGAGTAAATTCACTTATCAGGAATTTGCGTCAACATCAGCGCGGATGCTTGCTTAGACAAGTCAGAGTGTTTTCCCTAGATAGATTTTTTTTTCATCCCCCCCCCCACCCGCCCGCTCGGATAAAGGCCAGCGCGGTTTAGTACTTGTCTGGTGTGGACGGGATGAAGTGTGCTGAGTCTTGGTGACCAGAACCATCCTGGTGTTTCCTTCTGATGGAGCTTCCCTTCGAGCCATCCACATCTGAGGGGGAGATCATCTGCAGAACAAAAAAAACAATTCACAAGTGATTAAAAATGTGCAGAATAACTGCACCAGTCAGCTCAAATGTTTATACCTGGATTTTTCAAACACAACAGGTGACTATAACAATACCTCTTTGGCTGAAAAAGCACCGGCAACTTCAAATCCTGAAGACAAACTGTCGATTAAGGCCGTATCACTCCTGCAGAAGATCAATGAAAAAGATATACATTTCTGTTCTCTAACCACATGAGCATTATGATGGAGAAGAGAATCTTCCCTTCTTTTCCTACTGAAAGGCTTTAGTCTTTAGAAAGATGCTTTTACATATTGGACAATTTGAACAGAAGACCTACAGCGACTTATTTTTGCCCCTTTCCTCCTTGTTCTGAGTTGAAGAAGTGCTGTCTGGGTATTCTCCGTTACTCCTCCTCCCCTTCCACTTCTCCGGCTTCTCCTTAAACGCCCCATGGCGGCGTTGCAGGTTGGCTGCTCCGACGCCCTCACCTAGGCCGTTTCTCTCGGCTGACACGGCGTCAGCGGAGTGCAGCGGTAACGAAGAGGGGCGAACAGGACTGGAAGAAGGAGGAGACTGTTTGGCCTCCTTCTTCCCCCCTTTGTCCTCTTTTACTTTGCGAACCACAAAGGTGTACTGGTCCAGCTCCTTGCTGTCCGCTCGCTCTTTTAGCCTCGAGGAGTCCTGGCTTTCGCTCTTCAGCGGGGACGTTTGATCCTTGTTGCTGGGTGGGGTGGAGGAGGAGGAGGAGGCGGCTCGTTCGGTCTCCCTCTGGTTGTGCTCCAGCCCTCTTCGCCTCCTGAGCTCTCTCTTCTCCTGGCTCCTGGATGACTGGCCACTGCTAAAAGCTGGAGCTCGTGCTCTCTTTTCATTGGAAGCAGCGGAGGCATCGTCTGGACATGTGGGTGTTGGTGCGTTGGAGGTGACCCTACCAAAGGGTTGTCTGGAGTCTGGCCGTCCCAAATCCTCATCATCTTCTTTCTCATCCAGCTGAGTTCCAGCCTCAGCCAGGGTACCGTTAGTCTCATAATCAAACTCCTCGTCTTCATCCTCCAGCTCTTCACCCTTGCCCTGCTCCACCTCTGTGTATGAGCTTGTATTAACCTCTCTGTTCTCCTCTGCCTTCTGGACTGTGGCCAGCTCGAAGTCTGTATCTTCTCTTGTTTGAGCCTCACTTGTCAGTCTTTTCTCCGCCTCCTCTCTCTTTTTCTGTGCTTCCAGCACCTTCCTGGTGGCCTCTTCTTCCTCTGCTCTTCTCCTTGCCTCCTCCTCCTTTCTCCTTGATGTTTCTTCCTCCATTCTCCTTTCTTCCTCTGCTCTTCTTGCCGCCTCCTCCTCCTGTTCTTGCCTCTTCCTTCTTTCCTCTTCCTCTGCCCTCTGCCGGGCCGCTTTTTCCTCCTCCTCTCGCTGTTTTTCCTCACGGATGGAGTGGCACCTGTAACACAGAAAACATCAATGTCGCAATGAATGGAGGGAAACCACTTTTAAAGCGTCGCCCCCCTTTCCATTTACGGTCCAGCAGACTTGTTCCAAACTTACCTTCTGCGTGCCGAATGTCCTCTGACCAGGGCTTGTATTTTGGTGGCGCCTTGTCTTTGGCGGTGGTACTCTGATCTTTGCCTGTGCCCCCTCCACACAGCCTGGATCACAGCGGCTGCCCGTCGCCTGCGCTCCTCTATGCAGTACCTGCGCCATGAACGCTGAGCAAGACAGAGAACCAAACAGGATCAGTATCACACTTCATCTGTCTCTTAATATCCAAATGGGAACACAATAAAAAAAAAACAACAACCTTAAGGACTGGCTCAAAAATCTAAATTACCTGAATCAAGATGGCAGCTTGTCTCATGACCAGAAACTCTTTCCTCTGCAGGCGACCTCTGAACCATCGCTGAAGGAAGATGATCTTGTGCTTCACATCCTTGTGGAGCATGTCCTGCAGCTGCTGTCGCTCCAGCTCCTTTAGGAACACCTGAATAGAGAGGACACACAAGGAATCACATGCACAGAAGGAAATAGTGGCAAAACAATAGATAATGTTTATCAAGATGCATTGAAATAATAAAACTGACAGGAGCTAAGTGGCATACCTTAGTTTTGCCTATCTGGTACGTGGTGGGGTCCAGGCCCATCTTCTTCTCAAGGAGCGCTGCGATGTCTTCTTTAGAGGCATCTGCATTCATTGGCAGCAAAACTCTAAAATGCTCTATGAACTCCTGATGGGGAAAGACAACAATACAAATTAGAAATATTTAGACATTTGTGGTTCAAAAACATTAGGAAGAACTGTACCTGGAATGTGTACTTGGCTCCATAGCCGGACCTCCTAATGCGAACTGTTTCCAGCATTCCTGTGTATCGCAGCTGCTGAAACACCAAGGCCTCGTCCAGATACATCTCCTTCTGCTCACATGCAAGGACACCAGAGGCACATTCACTTTCAATTGCATATATTTACCAGTTAGACGATTGTCATAATTTCTTTTCAATTTTGATTGAAAGTTATTTTAGGAGCAAAGAATTTATTTCAGAGGTTTATCACATATGATTACTCGACAACAGCATACGCATAACATTTCCTTCGACAAAGTTTTTATGCTGGAAGTGTATATGTCAGTATTCAGTAAGAGACCAAGGATTTAAACAAGAAAAAATTACATGAACAATGACAACAGCAATGACAACGTCTTACCTTCTCAGCATTGGAGCGGATGCAACGGATGAAGAACGGCTCTGCTCTGTTCAGCGTCTCTAAGAGTTTGGTCAGAGAGGTCTGAGGTAAAAAACAGAAAAGGTGTTTTATGAATGGCCAGGACTGCTGCTGCTGCTGTTGTTGTTGGATGCGTTGCGCTGCTTTCATTTTGACGCGTTCATACTGTCAAAAGGCGGCGTTACCTGGAACTGGGCACTGATGCTGGGGGGCTTCTTCTTTTTCTTGTGTACGTGGAGCAGAGACTTGGTGGTGCGATCATGCAGCGTCAGGCTGACAATGAACTTCAGAGACTGAGAATCCAGCAAACTCTGCATAACAGTAAAACAATAAATCCATTGCCTGCTTAAACTCAATGCAATGTAAGGATGGTTAAAACTGATAAAACCACGTCAACCGACTTAAATGGTATATTCTCTTTAGACAGCCCATGGTCGTCAGTTAAGTTTACCTTGGGGATGACCTGCCTCTGTTTGGTGTGCTTGTGTTTCCTGTGAAAACGGGAGAGGGAAGATGCAAAGTGAGTTTAAGGGGCCGGAGCGTTTTAAAGGTGTGACGGTGGAACAAGTCGTAGGTGGGAATGTGAGAAGCCAGGTTAGTACGGAAGGCTTTCTTAATGCGCAGTCAGTGATGACATCCAGGTTGGCACCTATAAGATGGGATGAATGATGAGTTGAGTGAGTGAGAGAGAAGGTGAGGATGACAGAGAGGGAGAGGAGGGAGTCTCTTGCAGGGGATGGGATGCAACGCAAAACTCATCAGCTCTGCAGAGGGTCAACATACAGACAGACATGCTCTCATTACCACCCCTGATTCACGTTCTAATTAAAACGGCAAAACTTTCTGTACATTCTAAAATGCTGCTCGGACATACTTTCACAAGACCTCACAAGCCAACACAGTCTTCTGTTGATGCTCATGCAGAAATAGGTATTCAAGGCATTTCAGCTTCAGCCTTCATGAAAACTAGATAGCATCCACAAGCTGATAATGTAACGTCTCCTGATGAAGCAGGAGTGTGTGTGATGTTTTTACTAGATCCCAAATCATTAATGATTCATTGGAGAAGTGGATATAAAGGATGAGAATAGTCTGTTGGCGGGAAACAAAGCTTCGATAGGAGCGTGTTCTGCCTGAGCCAACTGATCCGGAGAAGAACTGACGCCAGGTCTGTCTGCAGACTCACTGGAGGATGTGTCGAGGGAAGCGGAGGCGACCCCAGGACTGCAGGAGCTTGCGAGGGTCCTCACCATCCAACGGCAAGTTCTTAATGGAGCTGATTATCTCTGCATGCATGACTCTGATCACGCACACACAAACACGCACGTAGTGTCGAGAGGGAATGATGGGGGAGTACGGGGAGCAGGAGAAGGGAGGGGAAAAAAAAGACAACAAGAAAAGTAAGCAGGAACGGGAAAGAATAAAAACAAAGTAGGGTATGACAGAACATCACTTCCAGGATACCTTATAAAACATAAAACAGACACACCGCCACAGTTACCAAAGACAAGAGCACACACTGACTGCAGCATAACCGGGCGTGTGATATCAAGGAACTTCATGCTGTGCTCATCCATGACCAATAACACGCAAAATGCTTTCTCCCACTGTCCATGATTATGAACATGAAAAACACAAGACACGCTAGGAACCTAACCATGCCGCCATATCTCCTTTAAGAAAAGAAAAAGACAATGAGAGAGAAATAAAGTGGTGCAAGTAGGGGTTGTTTTCACCCTCTATTCCTGCCGCTGTGGAAGTTAACATGCAGAGTGGGGCTGGCGCTGTGGTTGGTCTGTTTTTCCATGCCGGGGTGATTACTGGCTGTGTGAAGTTGTTACTAGTGAGACTGGTTGATTCACGGCCCTTTAATTGATCCTGATGTTACGCTGGTTCTGGTGAGGTTAATATGGAATCTTGATTTTATCCATGCAATCATTTTCTATACTTACCATGACTGACCACGAAAACAGAGGTCAGGCAGTGAAGGAATGGGAAAGATATAAAGCCAATAAGTCACAATGAATTTGACCCTGTACACCTCCTTGTTTGCAGATCTGTTAGAAGTGGATGATTGTATAAAAGTAGCAATGTGCTGGGAGGTTAAACTCATTCAGGTACTATTCAATATTTTTAGATCAATAAGGAGGAGGTATAGGGTCAAGATTCAAAGGGCCAGAGAATCCAAAAATATCTCCATCGTTTTGTTCCATTTTGAGAAAGCTCCCCTAATCCTTTTTATGCCATTAGATTTAGTCTGTGTGAATGATTGTGTGTCTCATAAGCTCCACAGCTGACAAAAGTAATCCGGGTGGCTAATCAGTGTGGGCCAGTACAAAGACTTTCCTATGCACTATAGCTAGAATAATAAACGTGAGGAAGGAGAGATTATCAGAGCCGCAGGAGAAGTTGGGGATATCAATGCAGGAAGGGAGGGATTGCAAGGTAAGGGGCATACATTTGATATAATCGGTTTTTATTCAACTAATAAAGTGCTAAAAAAAGATTCTCATGTTTAAAAGGGAGCAAACTCTAAAGATGGAGCAAACGGGTTACTATTTCTCAAAACAAAACCCATTTCCTTCCTGCGTGGCCTCATTTCTTCATTCCTTGTTCCTGCCCACCGAATTCACTTACTTCTTACTCTCATAGCTAGCAAAGATGTCTTCAAAGGCCTCTAGAGGGCGCTCCTCTGAGTGATCAAAGTAGAAATCAAGCATAGAAGCTCGTCTGTGGAGGGGAGAGGAGAGAACCGCACATAGTGGGGTCACCAAAAGGTGGAGAAGATGTGGGTGACTAAGCTGTGGTGAGGGAGGATTCAACCGTCTGGGTGACGTAAAAAAAAAGAGAGACTGATTTTGTAAGCTGCAGTAACTGAACGCAGTTTACGTCTTGACATTTCTCCTTCCTGATCTCATCCAGCCCCAAAAGGATGAATGAGGAGGTCCACAGCTCACCAAACCATTGGAAACATTTCCTTCAGCGAGGGGCATCAAACAGGAAGCATGCTGCAGTGTGGTCTACAAGTCCACAGGTATTATAGCAGACAGGTTCCTCCAAAGGAAACAGACCTGACAGTTGGAAAACCAAATCCAACAAAGACCCAACCAGTTTGATAGCTTTATAGCCAGTATATACATTACTTACTTGTACATTCTGTCTATCGGGGCATTGGATCGCTGAAGCTCTCCTAAAGGAGTTCTGGAGATTGGACGGACAACACCTAAAACAAAAATAGTTAGTATGGATTTAACGAATGAAACAAAGCCTTTAAAACGTTTATTTTCACATTCGTCTTAAGTTTTTTAAATTTTGTTAATCCACACAAAAAGGCTCCCATATCAATGGGCTAGCCCTGAGGGCACAAGAAGGTATTGCACGGAAAATAACTAAATCTCCTAAAGCCCCATGTTGCTCCATTTTCCTCTCTTTGCCGACTAATTGCAGATCAGAGAAACGGCATTGCACTGAAGTTGTGGTATAAGCTTCACAGGAGGAGAGCAGGCAGCTGGCGTGTAAAACATTGGGAAATGTATAATGTAATAGATCTACCTTGAAAGAAACCACTGTCCTTTTGCGTTTCACGGATATTAGTTTTTGTTCTACCATGATAAACCTTGCTTGGCTTGGTGGAGGTCTGCGCCCTTAATGTGCCCTTATAGCCATCGACTACAAAACAACGTATGCTAAGAATGATTTATCCTGCCCCAGGATGGACTGACACCGTCACACCACTCATAGCACCTGAAGTTTTGGCGGCCCAGGAGCGGCCGGCTTCATTAAAAGCAGCAATGCCTCTGATGGTGGCGCGCAGGATGCCCCATCGAAACATGGCCACCGGGTCCGTGCCGATGAGTTGCCGCACATAAGCGCGGTCGCTGCTCCGCAGCAACGCCACAATGTCTGGACGCATGTGGTCGGTGTTCTTCTCCCGGAAATCCTGGTGAGGTCAAGCATTTCATCAACATTAAAATCGGCAAATGCAGGCGTAACTAAGTATAATTGAATCCCTTTTGAAAGTGTTCCCTCGTCTTTTCGCTCTGTCCTCATTACCTTGATTTGATATTTGACTTTTCCAGCAAAGTGTTGGATGACAAAAGCAGGCTCCATGACCGGTGTGGACACAAAGTAATTGTTCCCCAGGTGCTGTTGCTTGAATTTGGCCAATAATGTCTCATCTGTGGCATGGGGAAAGCTGCAGGCACACAGAGAGAGAGAGAGAGAGACAGGAAAATACATGTGACTAATGAATGTACAGCTTCATTAAAGGCAAGTTCATTGGTACTCTAAGCCGTGGGGCATCGTCTGCAGCTGTTCTTACTTGCTCTCCTCATCCAGCAGGTAAAGCAGGCCGGTGGGCTTCTTGCTGATCAGATGGATACAGCCCACATTGTCTGTATAGTCAATGTTATGCCAGGTGATACCCTCCGCCTGGTACTCCTCCTGGTTGAGGCAGAACAGAACATTTTGGATTGAAATCAAGTCAGAGTTAGAAAGATTAATCATTTTTACTTTTGGTCTCAAATAAGATGCAATAAAATACAAATACTCCCCAACATCCAAACCTGATGTAAGTCTTACATGTGTAGGCAAACTATGCAGAAGTATACATTTTTTAAAGTCCAGTTTGGCTGAATAACTAAATGTTTTGACAATAAATTAAACATTTGTAAAGTTGTTGCTCTAAAGAAGAAGATAAACTAGCATGACTTGGCATGTAACCGTTTCTCCCGTCAGAGAGGAAATGTTTGGATGAGTCGGCATGCAAGTACTCATTATTATAAACACAGAGCAGGGACAGGGGTCGTAAATTTAAAATCTTCTGATGGTGTGCTGTTAGGTGCGTCATGTGCAAAGATTGCAAACTAAATAGCACCACTCACCTGCTCCAGGTTGAAGATGTGATTGTTGAAGTAATACTGCAGTTGCTCGTTTGCATAGTTGATACAGAACTGCTCAAAGCTGTTGGTCTCAAAGTCCTCAAACCCGAAAATGTCCAGGACACCGATGGACAAACACTGGAAAAGAGGCAAAGTGAGGAGAAGGAAGGGGAACGCACAGCAATCACCAACAAATGAAACACAGCTTTTATAGCATATAATTCCTTCAGGTGTATAAGAAGAGGAAAATCGTTAATTTGTACGGTTTGTGCTGTTGTATGTGTTTTTGTGTCTTACTGGGACAGACTCCTCCATGTCTTTCTTGTTAAGCAGTGAGTGATTGATGCGAAGGACGATCCAGTCAAACAAGGCGCTGTACAGAGATTTGGCCATGGAGTCTCTCGCTGTGATAGCCTGATAGGAAGAAGAGGGACAATGAGTACTGCAACAAAAACGTTAAGATACCTAAAAGAACAACTGCAATGGTGCCGTCACCAGTGATGGTAAAAGCCATACCACAGAGGAGAAGTAGTCTGTAAAGGCCTTGCATTCTAAAATTATATTTAAGTAAGCATGCCCATTTGAAAATATTATTTTATTGCATTATATTAGTGATGCATTGATGTGACAATCACTCGAAGAAGCTAAATTTAATTACTTCATACAATGCTTTTGAATATTTCCCGGGAAAAACACAATACATTTAAAAAGTCAAAAATATCCTAAAAGTGTAAGAACCTCAAAGTTGTACTATAGAACAGTACTTGAACGAATGTATGTGTTAAACAGAATTACAACAGAAGTATCACAGAGGTCATCAGAAAAGAAAGCGGAGAAAAGGAGAACATTGACAGGAAGAAGAGATCTACTCTTGTGCGTGGTATCAATAAAGGCGGAAGAAGCAGACGCACAAGGCCAGCAATTAGTCTACGGCTGGACTCCATTATAGTGATAACAGGTTGCAGAGACGTCTTCGTGGCTGGTGCCTACCTCAGAGTGGCTGTACGGGAGGATCAGTTTGTCGTTGACTGTCACCGTTTTCCTTTTCGTCAGAGCTTCAACCAGCAGCTCCTCCTTCACCTGGGAGGGAGACCACGCAGGTTAATGGCGACCCGGACCCCCAAAGAACGGAGTCTCAGTGAAACAAGAAGGGAAACGCTACCTTCAGCAGGTCAGACAGCGTAGCCAGGACCTCTGGCGGCCCTACGTCCAACCCCTCGTCCCGTCCCGTCGACTTACGCCGGTACGTCACGTTGCCCAGATACAAGATTGCCGAAAGCACCAAAAAAATCCTGCAACACAGCGACAAAGCCTGCGTGAGTCGAAAGCCACAGTGACAATGCAGTCACATGACACATCCAAGAACAGTGCTTCACATGCTGTTCTTTAGGGTTATCCTCCGTTTATGTTCAACAACTAGTCTAAACGGTCTCCTTTGTTATTTATGTTTTTGGTAATGTGATTCAACACTCAGACCAAAATAAATTTCTGTTTTTTAGGACTGGGTGGAAAAACGCTTCAGGGTAGATTTTCAACACAATCCATTCAACATGTCTGGAAGAACAACATGATGTCTCTTTCGCGCACTACACGCAACGTATTAACGTTATTCACTTACTGTTTCTTGGTGGCAGGAAGGAAGCCGACCATCTCCATTGCCTGCTGCAGCCTTTCAAAGTCATGTCGCAGGTCTTCCTCATCTTCGATCTTGAAGTTTTGCTACAGGATTAAACATACAGAGTATGGTAATGAGAACCCCGCAGGAGCACAGCATGGACAGACAGGTGAAGGGAAGAGGTAATGAAGGGGAATAAAAACCGAGCGAGCGAACAAAGAGTGCTTCATTGACATGCAGGGCACGCACGGCGGCTTATTCAGCAGCCCGACCGTCTACATGAATACAGGGTCGGCTCCAAGGCAAATATAGGGTTTCCTTATAAGGTCAAATTGCCCACAACAACTGATTATACTTCATTGACCAAATTAGAAGGTTATTTGCAAAGGGTGAGCAAATGGAACAAGGTGGAACAACGGTGAATGAGGATTTTTTCCGTATGTAAAGACAATAAACTGCTGGGTGTGAAGGGATAGTGGAGCAGTACTGTACCTGCTTGAGGTAGAAGTAGTCTTCAGGCGGCAGTAGCTTGAACTCCTTCCTCTCCTCTTCTGAAGCTCCCAACAGCAGGTAGTAAAACACATGGTAGTTTCTGTAAAGGCAACACACATCTTACTTGAGACGTGTACAACCCACACGCACACACACACACACACACACACACTTCACAGGAAATATTCTTTCAGCTGCTCTTCAAGGGGATACATTTGCTATCATCTGCATCCAGAATTGATTTGTTTTACTACCTAGTAAGCGGCTGTAAGGATATGAGCTTTATTATGGCCACAAATAAGAGGGTGATAAACCAAAAGAGAGCACATTGTTTCAAGCTATTAATAGAAAAAAAGACAATATCTGGATTAATATTTAAAAAATATTTCGAAAGTTAAGTTTTCCACTCGCATCTAAGCTTTGTCGTGAAAGCACACAGGAGTAATGAGTTCTCACATATATCACTAAGAAACCATTACATCATCTGGTGGAGTAACTAGACAGGAAAGATGCACTGTCAACAGCAACTGTAGGCTAGGTGACGAACAGAACAATGACAAACCACGAGAGGCCGGCTTATCAATGCAAGGGGGCTATATTTACTCAAAGCTAGCTGGGGAAAATCTGGATATGAAACGTGAATGTGGAAGACTCTTCTTTCTGACAAAAGCTACAGTAGGGTTCTTTACACAAAGCATCAACTGCTTCCCCAATGGTAGGTTGTGGTTTTAAAGACTGACGCCCATTACTGCTCGTCGGTATCTGTATAAATCTAAAAAGGGCATCGTAAAACACGTCTTTTGTAGGTAGGAAAAACCTCTGTCGACAACAGTGAGATCAACACCACATTGTGGTTAAAGCTGTGCAGTTTCCACGGGAAGATTTTTATTAAAAAGACAGGCAGGCTTTATATTTGTTTAATTAAGATTTAAACAATTTAACTGGAGCAGATACAAAATCCGACCGGTTTCTTCTTTTGACTCATTGATGAGTAATATAAATATCTTTTTAGCAAAGCAATGGTGGAGAATTTGCTCACTCCCCTAACTGGCTGACTGTTCTCAATAACCGAAGTCCAAGTATTTGTTTGCCCATTAATCATAGTAGCAGCGAAGCTGTAGTCTAGTCTCTAGTGAATGCCACAGTGAGTAACAAAGGAAGAATGAGTGACGAGTGAGTGAGGATAGAAAACTGATATTTTCAAGTTTGTATCTGTTTATACAAAACATTTAATCTTATCTCACACAACTCACCGAGGGTCACATCACCAAAGTATGTGATCACTGCTACATTCAAATTCCAAGTCTACAAACCGTCCACTCCAGACGCAACACCAGGCTGAGGACAGCACTTTACCAGGAACGTAGGAAGCCAATCTCTCCCGAGTGGATATTTAAGTACATGTATGTGGGGGTTTAAGCGTTCAGTCAGATGGAAATCCAAAGTCAAAGACTGGAGCCTCCGGCTGAACTTCATATCCAACCGTCAGAGGCTTCCCATGTTTGTACAGACGGCCCCATGAAGGTCAGCGGGGGTGAAGGCTTGTGACCCCTGCTCACCTCTCGTTGTTCTCTCTGGAGACCAGACGAGACTTCTCCAGGAGATACTTCTCCACCACAGCGCTGCAAGACGGAGAGGACAAGAGGGAAGGGGGGAGTAGAAGAGGACGAGAAGAAAAAGGGGAAGAAAAAACAATCAGCATGAATCACTTAACACAAAAGGTCACTCGGTTGTGTTTTTAGGTCATATGTGAAAGTGGGCTGGTAATAAAAAATGGGGAGGAGCAGGAGGGGAAGTGAGGACAGATGGTCGGCATAATCAAATGGTGAACAAAGCCTTCAGATACGGTCAGATGGATGGTAGCACATCACATAGCAACACACACACACACACACACACACACACACACACACACACACACACACACACACACACACACACACACACACACACACACACACACACACATCGGCAAACAGCCAGCTTTGGCTTTGTGTACTATAGATGGCTATGGTGACTGAAAGGCTCCAGCGGTGGTAAGGGTATGCTTTCAGACCATTGCAGTCACGAGACATGCACTAAAAAGCAGCGGTATTTACGCACCACATCTGGCCAAGGCCATAAAGTTGTCTAAATCAGATTTTATAACAGTTGTTTTTTCTAGAGCCGGGAGAAAACAACACTGACGCCAGTCCTCACGGCACACTAAGAATAGAGCTGTGATGAGAGAAGCATGGCTGTGTCCATCTTCTCAAACTGCAGCCACTACTATAGACAGCTCAGCTGAGGCCAGAATAGTCTCCACTGCAAGTAATACGCAACAAAAATAAAACACTTTACTGGATATTATAGAAATTGTTGCCGTGTGATTTGTTTTAGATATCATGGTCAGGGTCACACTATTTAACCTTGGCTTACAATGGGTGTCCTGGACTTCAATTGTTTCTGTATTTGTGGAGGTCAGATTTTTTTTTTAAACCTCTTCCCGTTCCAGGATACATTCCAGAGAATGCTGGAGTTGTACTCGTTGGCTCTATCTGCATTATGACAGCCTGTTCCAAAAGGTCTATAGACTTATTTGTTAGGGGGTTCTAAACATTAAGGGCGACACCAGACAACGAGTGAATGTTAGCTTCTTAAAATAAGTCCTGGCCTGTTCATGTGAAATGATCTAAGGGAGAAGCTGCAGGAATGTTCATAAAAGCCCATTCTGAGAAAAGCACAGCCCCACATACAGGCCGTGCAGTATATACCAAGGAGGAGTAACTGACACACATCTAAAAATACATACAGCACATGTTCATGCTCAGGCATCTTTCACTGACACGCCTCCTTCCTTTTTTTTTATTGTTCTGCTCCATCTTGCTCAGATCGCAGTGAGGCGGATTAGCCGGACTCAGTGAGCGGCAGAGAGAGAAAGAAAAAACAAACAAAAAAAACATCCCGTCTGCCAGTCAGTCAGTCGGTCGGTCGGCTCAGAAAGCAGAGCGAAGCAGAACAGCAGCCTTCCCTTTGTTGATCTCCTCTATTGACTGTCTGAATGGCTGCCACTGAGGATGGAGGGATAGACAGCCAGCCTTTGTGAGGGCGACAGAGCTCAGCTGTGATGTCGCTCCGACACCTTACTGCTGTGAAGCAGAAGGCTGCACAACGAGTACACTGATGGTAGACTATGGACGGTGTTTTTAGGTTTACTACATTTACAGTTTTCAGCATTTCCTTGTTTAAGATGGTCTACGTTTTCCAACAGAAAAGCACCAGTCCGCTAAAATCGACTCCACTGATTGGAAACCGTCAAAATTCAATAGAGCACAATGACACCAGGTGCCAGAGGATATTCAGGTCGGGGATCGGGGAGCTTTCACCACAGGCATTTAAAAGAGGTTGGAAATAAAATTATATTACTAGTATGCAACACACACACACACAACTCTTTTTTAAAAGAAACTGTACTGAGCTGATGTTCCCTACTCTTGATGAGGAAGTGACACAGCTGACCAAACTCCGATACAGCTCCTGAGCAGAGTGACTGCTGAGATAAAAAGGAAGGACGTACCAGTGGTTGAATGTCCACACACACACACGCACGCACGCACGCACGCACGCACGCACGCAGAGGAGGATTACATTACCGGCCAGAAAAAGAGCGAAGATGAAGACACGGGGTTATAGAGAAGTGGAAGACCATGCGGCGCTACAGACAGAGCATACTGAAACCACGGTTTCCACATCCCTGTGTGCTGCAGAACTGCAGATTAAAGCCTTGTTGCAAAAACACATGCACTCGCTGTTACTCACCCTCTGACTACTCCACTCTCCAGGTAATTCACCTGGATGAATTTGCCAAAGCGGCTTGAGTTGTTGTTGTGGGCGGTCTTTGCGTTCCCAAAGGCCTGAAGAGACAACAAAAGACAGAAACACAAGGTATGACGTCAAAAACCAAAACTCTGTACTCGTCAATATGAAATGCATCAATGCCTTTGATGTGCTTCAACATTTGTCTTCTTTAACTTTGTCGAATAAACGCACAAGATAACTGGTTTATATGTATCTTTTTTTTTTTTTTTTTTTAATTGCTGCAACCACCACGGTCTGTAAACATTTTCAAATTTACCTCCTGCTCATTGCTGATGTTTTGAAACTCAACTCTGACCTGGAGTTTCAAATATAGAATATTGAGGAGCGAGCAGATGCACCTAACACCTAACAATAACACAGGATGACAACAAAGACACTAGACGGTTTTATTTTTTATAACTAAGAGCAGTGATTAAAGACGGGGGTTGCGCGTCAATGAGAGTGTGCGCATGTTGGGGGTCTTAGGAGAGAAGTGTTTGCAACTGGTTGTCCCTTCTTACCCTCCTCTCGCTCTCTTCCCATCCATCTCTTTCACATCTTTGTCAAGAACATTTCTCATATGTGTGTGTGTGTGTGTGTGTGTGCGTGCGTGCATTTGATGGAAAGCGCACAGGTCAGAGATGAGAAATGAAGTTTGGACAGCAGTGTCAGAGAGGACCCGGACCGCCAGGGGCCCACAGAGCCCAGTTAGTAAGGCCTCACTGTTCACCGCATTGATTCGGTACCAGAATAGCGCTCTCTTTTCATCATGATGCACACGCTCACATGGTAACACACACACACACACCACAGGGGAAGTTGACTGAGTGCATGCTAAATAGGAGCAACATTGTATTTTCTGAAGCAGTTGCAGGGTGAATTTGACACAGTGGTGTGGAGGCCGATTGCACCCGAGGGCACAAATACACACACCTACAGGGTCCAATTGAAATTCCTCAGGATGAACAGTTGACCTTTTCTTTAAATCTTTTATTCTGCTGCTGAAGTAGACTTGGAAGCAGCTCTTTCTACTGATTGTTCAGAGCTGTACAAGTGTATATAAATTACTATAGCAAGTATACTATAGTAGTGGAGTGTGTGGCAAGAGTTGCTGCCTGTTGGATGATGCAACAGATCTTTAGTTGGGACCAGAATTATACATCTTCATCTTCACAGGGACTTGCTCAGACAAGACTTGTACCCACCCACTCACCGGGCTCACACCCAAACACTCGCTTTCGTTCCGTTTTATGGATATGTGCATGTGTCAAAAACAAATCTATGAAAAATTATTCAGTTCATTTGTATGTTTGGTTTGCAATAACAAACTGTAAAATTGGAAATGGTTTTATTCAGGTGTAGCCAGTTTTTAAAGGATTGTGTGCCATCACTTCTGTTCCGGGTTTCAGGGTTACCAAGTGTGTTTTGGCACCTCCAAAGTGTCTCAATGCTCCCCACTGTGACCAGTGCTGTTCTGACCTCCTCCCCCTCCCCCACAAACCTTGCAGCCAAGAGCACCAAACACCCTGGGAAATCTCTGCAAGGCCCAGGCCGCTGCACCAAGGAGGGATTGCTAAACATGTCACAGCCTTATTCGTATTCAAACTTGCCCGGGCGCTCAAAAATGCAATTGGCTGGAAGGCACAGCAGGTATGGGGAAGCAAAACGTCTAATATGCAGTTTATAGAAGCAAAAAGGAAGGATTGCTAAGTGAAAGGTATAGAAAGAGAAAGCGGCGTGTAGACGTCTGCGTGTTGCCTGTATGCAGATCCAGTGACCATTTCATGACATGCAATTCTGTCTGGATTAATTTCTCTTCCTGGAGCCACTCCACTGTATAGTTCCACTACTGTATAGAGCCAGACGTATGTCTCACATCCTCATTCAGACACCCACACACAAACATTTGCTTGCACTTCTCTTTACAAATCAAACTAGGGAAGTGTCTGAAAAACACCGCAGTTTTTGATATTTTTTTTTTAGTCTCAACAAAAGGTTTAAATGACATAAATAAAAGAGTTGGAGCTAAGAAAACGGTCTGATGTGTTCGGGATGAGAGGAGATGCCATTGACCCCCATGTGACACTTTGCACACATACTTCCCCTCAAGCTGTGTGCGGTTGGTCCTTTAAATTCAATAACAGATAAACTAAAAGAACCAAGCAAGAGAGTTATGAACTACATAATCACCACTGCAAAACACCAACATCGCTTGGTGACAAAATAATTGTTCGTGTGAAAAAATCTTTTGATAAAATCACATGGTGTCGGCAGTGAATGCAACCACGTCTCTACACAGTTCCTCCTCTCGGTTTCAAGCTGCCTCTTTATCCCACCAACTGCTCTTAAACCCCCGAGCGCAGCTCGACTGGTAACAAAGAATGGACTCTTCGACGTTCCATGAAGCCGTCAGTAGCGCTCAGAGGGGCAGCTCGTTTGTTTCAATGTTCCAGTGGACGTGGTTACGATGAACTGAGTGTAGAGTATTCATTGCTCAGTATGCACTTTACAGGCGATCAGAACGTCTCATGTAGCCACATTTAGTTTTTTATTAAACTTCTTCCTTGTCTGTGTTTTAGGGGGAGGTCTAGCAATGCTGACGCATACATAGAAGCAGAAACTAACTGAATTGACAAAGAGCAGTTGACACATGCAGCACGAACTGACTTCATTTTGTCAAGTGCACATTGAAATCCATGTTGAGCCCAGTAGGAAACTGGAGCGCACAGCACACTTAGGGATTCATTAAACTAGAGCAAACGTTTCAGCGTTCCTCAGTGTCCAAACAAAGTCAGTCAAATTATAACTTTTCTGCAGCATTAACATTTTAGCTGCAACTCTGTTAAGCCTTTTGCATTTGACACAGGTCTAAAATTACTGCCATTTGCAATGGTCCAATACCATTAGCCCTGTGTTCCCTTGGCACTCGGTAAGCTACACCCTACGACTCAGTCGGAGAGACTTCTCAGTGTAAACATAAAGCAAATACAAACACCTATTGTCGGGAGCAGTTTGCAGCTTTAAAAAGTTAATGGAATCTAACAGATTAAGTCAGTGTAGAATGGTAACACCTCTGTCTGGGCAAAACCAAGCTTTTTTATGAAACTATCTAGAATGACTGCTCTACCCCCTGCATGCATACATAACCCAGGGTAAAGTGACAAAGTAGTCAGAGTTCAGAGCCTGGAATAGTTAGAATAAGGTTTTGGTTGGGTGTTTCACCAGATTGGAGTCATTTCAAGCAGCTCCACCCATGTCTAGATGGGTACCACATCAAACCTTGGCCTGTGGTGTGGTCAGAGTGCCGTGAATAGACCTGAAGTGGCCTGGGGCGTGCTGGTACATGTACGCTGCATTTGTCCTGTAAGGAACAGTATATCCCACTCTTCAATAGGATTGTAACTGGTATGATTACTGTTCGGCCCGTGTGTGTGTGTGTGTGTGTGTGTGTGTGTGTGTGAAATGTGTGCATGACGCAGTGACTCAAAGCCAGCAATGCCAGCTTTTCCCAGACTCTTACACAATGCAACCCAGCCTGACCAAATATAAAGAGGTGTAACCAACACGTAAGAGATAAACAATGGCCCAGCTGACAGAATGGCCAGCTACTCCTCTGCACTTCCTGAGCAACAATACAATACTTCGGTGTATCCACACCCCTCAAAGTCCGAGGCTAACAGCAGAGAGAACTGCTGCAGTTACTTCCTGTGTCGTAGCTGCTTCCTTTAAAAAAATAAAAATAAAAAAAAAGGCGGAAAAAGGGTTCCGGATGATGGGAACTTCCTTTCTGAGACAAATTGGCATGAAGGACACAACAACCAGGGAGCTTTAGTTAAAAGGCTGTGTATCATCTCACATCTGGTGACTAATTCTCTTCAGATACCAGAGCTGGGCGGTATACCGGTTCAGACGATATAAGATTTCCCTACGGTAGAAATTTCTCTTCTGATGTTGCGCTTCGGAAAACACGGAAAAGAGCAATACAGGAGGAACGTCTGTTTGGAGGGTTTTTGGTTTTGGAAAATCCGACTTAAGTTACATTAGATCAGAAAACGATTCATTGCAAAGTCTGTCAAACCTCTGGTATTGCATCTGGTGGCAACACTAGCAGCCACAACAAGCTAACCCACTAACAGCTAACATGCTAATGTGCTAACTCGCCGGCCAGTTGCGAGCGGCAAACAGCTGTTCGGCAGCCGGCGGGCCTTTTCGGGGTCATTAATGTGTTTAAATGTTAAAAAACCAGGATACAGTCAGAATCTTTCCAAATACCATGATATGGATTTTTGGCCATACCGCCCAGCCCGATCAGATACTACATACTATTCACCTTGAGGTTGGGATGATCTGAGGACTGATTTAATTCATCTTTGGAGGATCCTGGAATTGTATCTTAATAGTTTATCACTCAAAAGCAGAGTGAATACACTACTTTCTTATGATACAATAATTAAATGTTCAACTTTTACACCACTTCGTTAAAGTTCCACACAGGAGTTTGACAAAGCAGGTTGAAGGGTGAGGAACAGTTATTTTAGTAGCCACATCTCAACCTACATAAGTAAACGGGACGATCGACCAGAGGATTGGGATCGTTCTATATAGTTATTTTTAATTTTCATCAACGGTGCCAACGGGTCAGATGCAATCGTAAAGGCTTACAAAGACAGACTTTAGTAAAAATGAGGGTTTTTTTCTAAAGAGACTGGAACGACACACTAAACACGCAAAATGACAGTTACTTGTAGAAGATGAGATTCTCTTAACTTCAAAAGTTACTAACTTGCCAATTTGCATTGTTAAAAAGGAGCATGGATGTTGCTCCTTATGGCTTATTAAATCTAGTCTCTTTCAAACAGTTAAAGATTAGGCCAACTGCCTAATGCACTGGAACAAGAAAAACCTGATCCGTGGTCTCTATGATTAACAAATAACCCCCAAAGTATTGCCTGCAATGTTTCATTCAACTTTACAACGGAGGAGAGTCCCGAGACATTTGGAATAAAAAGCCTGGCAAACGAAAACAGAAGGCAAAAGAACCATGCAAGAGGATTAACTGGTTGGACCAGTTCAGAAATTGTATATAGCTGGCGAGCTGTTCAGCAGGCAGAAGTCCTGGGACTTAACTGGCATTATCTCAAGACAAAGGAGGAAAGAAAGACACGGAACAATATAAAATGAAATAAAGTAGGGCCGTGGCTTTTCCCACATGGTTTGAGGTGGGGGGCATTTATTCTGCTACAACACAGCTCACAGGCCGTTCAACTCCATAAACCATGATCTCATCTCCTCACAATGTATGAGCGGGGCCTGAAGACCTCCAGTGTAGCTGGAGGACCCACAGAGGAGTGCCAGAGCGTCTGAAGTGTATTTCAGTTAATATCAGCCATCTTATGAGCATTCTGCCACAATGAGTGACATCAAAACTGAATATTCTCACATAAAAAAACAGGATAGTATGGAAAACTGTTTACTGCAGCTTCCACAACCGACGAGTTAACTTTTCTGGCTGAAATGCAAATTTAAATCAGTTTCAAAAGTCCAACCTCCACTTCCTCGAACCGACCAGGACAGAAAGGGCCGAGCTCGTCTCCCTACGCGACTACAGCTCTGGACCAGGCTAACACAGGCTCGGCGCTCTGGGAGTGAAAAGTAGAGTGGCAGTGTGTGTGCTAGGGCCAGTTCTGTTTTTTTTTCCTCAGTACCGTTTGGTACTTTCAATAAGCTGCATTCCGTATACAGCTTTTCTGAGTAAAAGGCTCTATTTTTAGCCCCATTATTGCAAAATAAAACTGAAAAATGTAGAGGAGATTTACTTCAAGAAAAACACTGCAATTAATCGGTGCCAACACCAATGAGGACTATTACACTGAAACCCAGTGCTGGGATTAGGAGGGAGATATGGAGGTTGGATATTTACTGTGCAGCCTCAAGCACAACTCAATCTATCTTTTTTTCATTCCTTTTACTCCCATGGATTTCAAATCACTAACTAAATCACTGATAGGAAGTACTCAAAAATGATATGATGTCACACGGTCATGCCTCCCAGTGCAAGACACACACGTACAAACACGCAGCATTGTGGTTTATCCAGTACCTGCAGCGCAGTCTAATGATCCACAGTGTTGCAAATAGGCATGCGAGTCGATGGTATATGGAGATCGACACTGCAGAGCACAATGTGAACCCTCAACACTTTTGCTTATGAGAGAGCACGTAGAAGTGATGTGGATGCGAAAAACAACTTCACGGTAATAATCCTGCTTCAGGTCTGACCAGCGGTAAATTGTTCCACATGTGAAAGTGGAGGACAATCGGTTTCCAATTGCCGGATTGAAAAATAAAGTAAATGAAGTCAACTCTGTTCTTTGCCATGTAGCAAAAAGATTAAACTCAAAACCAATACTGGGCCATATCTTATCCTGGAGTGATGTAACCGTTTTTGGTTCAACAAGGTAAAACCTAACAGATGTTTACTGGTCTGCATGTTTGAGTTTGTCCCTCTAGTTAACAAACAAAAAGGAGCTATACTTTCCATCGAGCCCTGGGTATTTCACCTTCTGCTGCGCAAAGATACACTCAGCAGCACTGACATTAGACTTCTCTCCCTGGTGGCGACCCATACACCCTCGCTTCAGAAAATGCATAATTATTCAAGTTACTCACTTTGGAAAAGTCAAACGGCTGAACAAATAAAATAACTGGGAAGTTCTAAACACCTTTCTAATGCAAACGTTTGGGAGAGAAAAAGGTGTGTATCCTAGTGGAGTGATTCGTCTGACTGCCGTGGATTTTTCCACATGTATCAGTGAGGTAAACTATGAAACGCTTCATGCGTCCATACGGCTCAAGTTCATAGACGTGGTCCGTCCAGACAGGACGAAATGTGTCCCATTACTAACTACCAGATGGCCTGGCTCATATTGATTCAACACTGCACTGACAAAAAGGTTGTTCATGTTAAACTTACTTATTGTCTTGATGGTTTGATAAATATTCTGCCACTGGCTATCAAACTGAGTAGCTTACATAAAGTTTGAATTCAATCGGTGAGCTAGTCAGTACAGGCACGTCACTTCTAAAAGACCACAGAGCAGGAAGGAAGAGCATTCACCGGACCCCAAACAGCAACAAAGAAAAATCAGCTCAAAAACAAAATTATGCTGTAAATATTCTAATAGTCAAAAACAGAACTCATGACGTTGCGCAATTGGTTACCCAAAGAGAGCAAAATTGCATTTCAAAATGCGGTGGAGATGTGGTTTGTTTGCTTCCTATCTTGACTGAATTCCCACAGCGTGTTCAAACGCAAAAAGGCCACATGACAGGTCCATAAAGCAACTTCCCATCCGCTTTTTCATTTCTTCTTTCTGAGTAGACTAAAATCTTTATGTTAAAGTCTTTTACACTGCACACAGACGGCCATCTGTTTCATCAGGTCGGCCCACGCAGGGAAGTGCAACTGAGTCACAGCCTGAAAATACATTCACTCGATGCTGCATGGGGAAAAAACTTTCATGTAATGTTTTATCACTCATAACCACTGAACTAGAGATAAATATTCTCAGATAAAGTGTGTGAACGTTGTGTGGGTGTTTCAGCATGCCATAGCAACATGAGTCACCTCTGAGGAAGCAACGTCATAGTTGGATATGACTTAATTTAAAGAACAATGCGTTTCACACTTGGTGGAGGACAGTGCAGAAGTAGGGTAGAGAAATAAAATGTAGAACTTTAATAACCGATCATTCGTGCCACCAGACGAGAAGCTCGGAAACTACCAGGCTCTGACGGACTCTACGGTGTTTTCCATTCTTCTTTGCTGTTGCGCCACTTTACAAAACAGACACTGGCTTCCATTCCATTCTTAATCTTATCTCTCATTTTTCACAAGCCTTAAAACCTGCTTCCACAAGCTTTGTCTGAGAGATACTACCGATTACCTGAATGTAAAACCCAACTCGGGGCGATTGTCAGCGAAAGGGACTGGTGGAGTACACACAAACCCAGATGTTAACATCTCACCTCCAGAACCGGCCCGGCTCCCAGTATGGTCCTTTCCACTCCACTGGCGTAGCCCTTCTGGCTGAGCGCAGTAAGACAGTGGATCAGGAAGTTGGTGCTCTGGGTCTTACCCGAGCCACTTTCCCCAGAAATGACGATGCACTGGTTGACCCTCTTCCTGAGCATTGCGTAGTAAGCCACATCTGCAATAGCAAAAATATGAGGCTCCAGTTTGCCCAGCTGGTGGTTCTCGTACATCTTGACGTACTTGGGGTTGTAGATGGGCAGGAACTTGAAGGGGTTGATGGCTATAAGGATGCTGCCTGCATAGGTATAGATCTTTTTCTTATAAAAGCGCGTGCGCAGGTTGTTTAATATACTGTCCTCATTGAGGACGGGAAGGTTGCAAAGATCCGCAAAATCGTCCTGTGGAGGGGGAAGGAAGCCCCTGTCTGCTAGTTGGGCTTCCTGTGCCTTAGTCACAGGTGGGAGGTGGACATAGCGAATACTGCCATCGTGGTTCCTCTCCTGGAAGAGAAAAAAAAAATGCATAATATTATCCAGACAGTTGATGGGGTCTGTATCCAGGGCTGCTGACTTTTTAAAACTAGTAAAAAGCAAATTCAAGTTGTCATTGAACTAACCAGGGGGATTGACACTAGGAAACACATTGCATGTCAACAATTTAACTGCCTTATTGTTATATTTGTTTTAGCATTTGTGTGCAACTCGTTATTTGGGCTTTTCTCAGCGGTCCAAGGTGCATCGTGTGCCGTCAACCCTACCTGTAGTAGGAAGTAAAAGCCGAGGCTTTGGGGATGTTTCTCCTGGGCTTTCCGAGGCCACAGCAAAAACCTCTGTGCCGGCAGGTCTCCAGCCTCCAGCACCCACTCCTCGCCGCCACATTCCTTCACCTCTGCAAGCACATACATGCGGCCGGGGTCCAGCCCGAGGGCCGCAGCAGCGTCCGCGATTACGGAGGCCGCGGTTGCGTCCTTCTGCACTCTGATGAGTTGGGAAAAAGCAATGACAGAGTTTGACAGATGTTGGCTTAGCAGTGGTGCCTTTACTTTTTAACCACATAAAATACGACTCCAACTTCTGCTCGTAGCGCTGAGTCACACTCACTGGAGGCTGCAGCAGGTGGTGGACTGGGCCGCCAACCGTGGGTAGATCTGGAGCAGGTATGAGCGGCCATCGTGATCGTTAGGGCCAGCTGACCCGCCTCCGCTGCCTCCCCCCCCTCCTCGTCCTCCACCGCCTGCATTCATTGCCATGGTGGCAGCGCCATCTCTGACACTCATCCTGGGCCAGGGGGAGTGGCCTCAGCATGCCGCACCCACCACTTCCCGCTCACCACACAGCACCTGGAAATGAAAAGGTTGACATTTATTTTTACAGTCATACATCCACACATGGAAAAGAAAATGGTGCCTGACAATTTAATATATTTACACTGGATGAGGATAAGAAACGAGGCTGTACGAAGCCTCAACAGAAACCTGTGTAGCAACAACGTTTGGGATGAAAGAGGATTGACTCTCAGGCAAACAATGCGCGATTATATTCCAATAAACACTCTTTCTTCTGGCGTTACACCAGTGCAGACTGTAAACGAGCATTGCAGCTCACTAAATGCCTCAAAAATTGCATGATTGCAGCTCTAAGTAAGCATTTCAAAATGCAAACAAAAGAGTTGATTTGAGAGAAAACTACGGTTAAATAAAAGAGAATGTACCTCCTTTCCTACTTGTGGTTTTCCTCAAATCTAAAAATACAGTTCAGTCATCAAAATGGGTCAAACAAAAATCTAACCGCACTTCCATTGCAAAGTCAATGCAGAGAGTAGTATTCCTATTGCTGGGGGTCAGGGCTCAGACATGTTTATTATAATGTGTTGACTTCAAGTTAATAACACCGCAGTAGATGGTTATCACATGTAAAGAAATTGCCTCTGAGAATTTGCAGCTGCAGAAGTTTCACTGAAATTGAACCCTTCCGCTCAATGAGAGCAACCAAGACACAAAAACAGAAAACACTCAAAACCACAAGTGGAGCGACGAGTGAGCGTTCTGCACTCTCTCAGACGTGACACCTACGGTGATCTTTTCTGCCCGGCAACATACCAATATAAAAACCTGATCACACGTCAATGATGTCAGGCAGAAATTCCTTGTTGTTTTTTCAAACCCTTTTGTGTAACTGGAGTCGTGTTTAAAAGAAAGTAGTTCGCCCACAGAGGGTCTAAAGGGATTTTAATTCAAACTAATCAGCGTATTTTAATCACTGACAGTAGAACATGCATACGTTCAGTGCAGCATGTAACGTGACTATTTCTACAGTAAGGAAACAGCAAGCTTTTCAATACAGAGGCTCTAAAGAATATATTCAATCCGTGTTTAAATGCTGCGCTGTAAAAGGCCGAGTTCTCAGCATGTTGAATATCTAGATTTAAATAGACATAGCCATCTGAAACCTGCACGTAGAGGAGAGAAACATCTAGTGGCAACCGTTTTCTGCACCACAATCTAGTTTGCAGTAGTTAGCGTTGGTACAAAACCACGGGATTAGCAACACTCTGTAATTAGCGGTCAAATCATTCTTTCGTACCTGCAGGTTAATTTCACTCCACACCCCAAATGACTGACAGGGCTGTTGCTGTGGTTACTTCACAAGACTGACATGAAAGCAGCTCCACATCAAAGCTGGTGATGGGATCGCCTGGGCGACAATGGCCGAATCATTAAAAGGAAACTGAGGTGATGCTGAGGTGTTTCAGGGCCGAGTAGGTGACTACATTTAGATGCACATTATATTATATATCGGATATGAGATGGTTCTCATAAACAGCGCTCTACCGCTGAGCTTATTTCTGGCCGTTTGCGGCCCACAGAATCCCCCCCCTCAAAAATGCATTTAAACATTGGAAAGAAAGAATCTGATGAAAAGGGTTTTGGATAATCAATCAGAAAACAAAAGGCTTCATTTAAATGAGAATGTTAGTCAAATGCTGATATTCATTAGCCATGTAGGAATACTGTGCTTTTAGGTGCACGGGCTGAAAAGACTGAAAATCTGCTGCATGTTAACAAAGTTTTTATAATATCCATCTGGACCACAGATAATAAAAATGATGCAGGGTAAAACTGTCTGTAGCGAAAATGAATGCAGTTAGCCAGTTACAATACAGTCGCACACAGCGGCTGGCTGAAGTTGGGTCTAATGATGGCTCATGTAGTGGGCTTCTGCATCAGTTGTGTATTCTGTGTGCTCTGCATGTCCCCCCCAGGGAAACAGGGACCTGGTTTAGATCACTGGATGGCAGCCAGACTGCCCTGCACTGGTAACCTGATCCCAGGTCGAGTCCCGAGAGCACAGAGTCCTGCAGTTTTTCGCTTTAATCATTCGAGCGGAGACAGTTTATTTTCTCAAACTAAAAAAATATGAAATATTAGTCTGAGATATGCCTAAAAAGCAGGCGGAGGGGAAAAAAGGCTTATTGCATGAGTTATGCATTTAGGGTTTCCATTCCTCCTTAACAAAAGAGTTGTTTCATTGAAAGTTAAGAATAGCTCATTTAAATGATTAAATATCTAGTTTCGTGGCAAAGATAATGCTTCATCTATTCTTTCTCTTCTGTACAACAATGGGATCTTTTCTTTTGTCAAGAAAATAATACTTCTAAACCAAACTAAGTTGTACCCGATAACTAACTATTACACACATTCATACATCCATGAAAGTTGACCTCTGCATTCAACTCATCCTAAGCATTTTAGGGGCAATGGGCTGCTGTAAAGCTCTGGGGAGAAGTTTGGGTTCAGTGTCTTGCTCAAGGCCATTTCAACATGCGGGCAGAGGGAGCTCGGGATCAAACCTTGCGGGTAATGTACGACTACCACAACCCACTTAGCTAAGACGCAGATATTTTGTAAAAAAGCCAACCCTGGAACCATTCAGGTCATAGCAGAGCAGCTTAAGAGTCATAAGCTTGTGCCTTCTCCAGGCTCACTGACCACAGTCCCCAAAAACACGCACGCCCGTAAAACACCAAGGCGTGCAAAACTGCAGAGGCCACAAAAGACAGCATCGTCATCATCTCCCCATCACGGGCCCGGTCTGGTTTTAATCGGTTACTCCGTTCTCCCTCTCAACTAGCTTCTAAAGAGCTGTTATAAAAGTACAGAAGACGTGTGGAAGCTGTTCAGCGTTCCATCTCAGTTTCTGTGGCTTTGCAGAGAGCAAAGCGGCCAGGAGAAAAAGGGTAGTGACAGAAAGAACAATGAAATAAAGAGGAAGGCTGAGCGACGGACAAACGCACTGAGAGAGAGGTAAACATCTAAAAGGGAGATACAAAAAAGAGAGAGGTCCCAAGGGACAATCAAAAGGAGACAGGGGCTTTGAGATAATGCAGCTTCCTCCCTGCGGAGGAGATCCTTGCAAGGATGCCCAGCATTCCTCAGATAAGACCCAAGGTTGCCTGCTTTGCAAAGGCTTAGCCTGGCACTTCAGCTGCTTACTGAGGGCTGATGGGAATGACACTAGAGCGCAAAACCACAACTGAGGGTAGAGACAGGCTGTCCATCTGCTGACTGCGGCCAGGATGGGGCATTAACCACTAACAAGCTCCTTAAACAAGACTTGGAAAATCATCTCAATTGAACGCACTCCGGTTATCCCACCTAACCCCTTGTTATCCAGGCAAGAAGAATAGGCTTAAAGGGAATTAATTTCACTGTAGATTCATCAGGATGACTACAGATGGCTGATTAACCAAAACATCAGAAAAGAAATCCGCACAATCAAATTAACATACAGTCGAGTAGAACTACTAAATTAGACGGTGCATGGATATGTCGGAGTGCTGCGCTGACTGCCGTCACAGGGGGCCGGTTAGAGTCGGTCGTCTGGGGGTCTATATTTCACAGGGGCTGACAACACTAAAGGTTATGGTCCGTTTTATGTTATAATTCTAACCAGCACACAGTTTACACTGGTGTAAACATGGAGGTTGTTGTATGTAAGCAGCACAGGACAGGAGCAATGCAAAACAGTCACGGTCAAACTGGAAAGATCCATAGAAGAAGGAAGAGGAAGAGCAACAGTGTAACTAGAGAGCCAATTTGTGAAGAGAGGAAAGAAATGTTTTGCCTTTATATGGCCAGCTGTTGTAGCGTTTATGATCTCACTTAGTGATGTGAGGGAACCTTAAGTGTTATAGTCTTTACGACGGGCAGTTCATTTTCTTTCGTAATGGACTAGCATGCACACTCACATATACTTGTGTGTGTATATATATATGTATATATCTAGGTGTAAAAAGAGAAGCCAGTAGGTGCTGAGACGCCACTAGCTGACTGATCTGGCGGGAAGCGAATGACCAGGCGGTGACACATCAATGAGCTACAGCCAAATAAATATACATTTCGCCATTCTTCTCACGCCTTCTGTCTCTCCCTCCCCGCCCATGTCTCACACGCCAATAAACACATGCAAACCAAGTTGTGATGTCAGCCGTGAGTGTGGAGTCAAGATAGTGTCACTCCCGGTGTTTGACTTTAGGATGAGTCTCTCACTAGTCAGGTCTGAAAGCAGCTCACACGGCTGCAACTAGTCACTCACACCACAATGGCGGCACCCAGAAGGCTGTAGACAAGCAGACCAGTACATTGGGCTTCTAACCCTAATGGTTAATGGTCAACCGACTCACACTGCTCCACGGCAATGTAGGTCAAATTTCCACGAATTGGAAATCATTCACAGGCCAATCAAATTCCATACCAAGTAAATGTAAATGATTTCAATAAAAACATTTTTTTTTAAAGTGTTAATTTGCCATAAAAGAGATAGAATGTCTTTATCATAAACAAAAACCAAAAATGATTATGTTCATTAGGTATTCACACCAAGAACACTCAGGTAAAAAGAGCTCATCAAAAAATACAAACTCCATAAGTTTGTGGAGGTACTTCAAGTATTCTTGTATGAGGCATTGTTTAATAGAAATTTAGTTGGAAATTATTACCGTGGTCGAGTGGGAGAAAAGCCACACGAATTCCTGAAACGTTCTGGAGGGACTCCCAGCCCTGATGAGCAAACGCAGGGCTACACTTCCCTCCAGCATTTCAGTATGCTACACAGGAAGGATGAGCAACTTGTAATGGAGAGACGAGTGATGATGTAATTACAAGGAACGTGTCAGAGAAATCACACCTTCACACAAAAAGAATAGAAGTCTGACTGCTTGGTGAAGCAACCACCATGTTGGTGGTAGAGTGGTAGAGAATGTCCAATACAATCAATTAATTATTCAATCCACCCATCAAAGTTTTGTTTCCCCCCCCCTCCCTGACACCTCGACTAAAAT